CTAGAGAGCATCTGAGCTAGTTACTCTTGCTTTCTGCTGTGGGTAAAATGGAGAAGAAAGGACTCTCTTTGGCTGCTATTCATCTGATGTGTGATGGCTGCTCTGAAAGTAGTGCCTCCTATTTTATTATGTTGGCACATGATGCCAGAGGCAGAGGTTGGTGGTATGGCAGTAGAGGTTGAACCTTCCCAGCAATATTTCATTACATTTTGTTGCCATGTGACAGATGGCAGCAGATGGGCAGTTTGACAGAATAGCATCTGACATGGAAGGACATATGAAGCAAAAGGGTACCACTGAATTCTTCCGTGTGGAAAAAAATGACACCCACTGCCATTCATCTACACTTACTGAATGCTTATAGAGCCCAAATGGTTGATGTGGGCATAGTGAGGAGGTGGGCAGTGCATTTCAGCAGTGGTGAACAGCAACAGTCGATCACCTCTGCTGGTGCCGCTTTTTATGGGCACAGCATGCAGGCTAGTTAATGGTGGTGACTATGTTGAGAAATAGTGTTTTGCAGCTGAGAATTTGCTCTACCAAATAGTGTTATTGTGCTCTTTGTATCTGTTTTTGTTTCCATGGAAATAAATGGGAGACCTTACTTTCAAAGTGACCTATATATTATAGCACTTTGCTTTAGAACAACACAAGTTGCACCCTTGAGAGTGCCTCTCTTTCTCTGTTGAATAGAAAAGTAGTCCAAATATCTACTTTCAGTCGCATGAATCAGCATGGGTATCTGAACAGAAGTGAAAAATGTTGTATTCTGCTCTATCCGAGAAGGCTAAGATTGGATTTACAAGCAGGGTATTCAGTAGGAGGAGATGTTTTACTTCCCCTGTAACACAAAATATGTAGATACAGTGGTCTTTGAAAGTGCAATTTTAAAAAGTGCGTGTTTAAAAAAAATCACAGAAATGAGTAGAAATGGGTTGCAGTAAATAAGAGTGGAATATGATTCTTAAAGAAATGCTGTTTTTTGTGTGTGTGCAGAATTGTGAGTCTGACACACTGGATTTGGAACTAGAAGAGGCTGTGAGCTGTTTCTCTATTTGTTTCTCAAATTTGCGCTTTAAATTTGATTAACTCTGAGGTGTTGCTGGGATAAATTTATCTTAGCCCCATTTCATTTTGTTAGATTAAACTTCTTGAGATGGATGTTGATTTTAATTTTCTCTTTCTTAAAAGCATGTCATTGTAATAAATTTCCTACTGCAGTTTTTGATGCTTCATTTTAAGTTACTGGGGAAACATAATGTGTAGCTAAGTTACACAATGTTAGTGAAATGATATTCATGCAACTATCTGAATGTACTTGTTTTTTTTCCACTGATTGTATGCAGGGTGTGGGGAAACTTTCATCTTGATCTGTTTGCCTAAGTGGAGTCCTTAAACGTAAATGGTGTGAAGGACTGTTAAATATTTCAGTACAATTTGGAGTATTACTAGCCTCAGTTCTTTTGACATTCCAGACACTGGAATCTGTAATGCATGCAGATAAGTGCCATATGAGCAGCCATTATCAATGATGTGAGGTAATGCAGCCTGCCTAATACTGAACAGTGTACTTCACAGTTGCAATATGGCATGCAGCCACAATGTGTCTTATTTTACTTTCAGAATTCTAAAAATAAAATGTACAAATCCATTTTGTTCTGAATTAGGGCTCACCCCTTCTCGACAGTCTTACTGGGAGCAGAACACTTTTTATTCTGTGGAGTAACCTTGGAATCACTACATATCACAGCCACCCTATTCAGAGCTGTATGGCAAAGAATATGAGTCCTTCTCTTTTGCCAGCTCGGCTTTTGGTGAGGACAGCCTTGTACAAGTTGAGCAGGATAGTTGAACTGGCATTTGTGCATCTGGCTTTTTTTTTTTTTTTCCATGGGGCAGAACAGGGGAGCTTTTGAGACTTATGTCACAGGTAAATCTTGGATGTGACAGTTCATTAGGGCCAGCACTGTGCACTGACCCTTTCACATTCGCATAGCTCTTAACAAAGTCATTTTCAAGAGTGAAAGTGGGTGAAAATTTAGGATTCTGTAAAATGCAGTCCACATGAATCATGTAATGCTTTCGTCTTGACACCAGGTCTAAAACTCTAAGTTAATGTGTTTACTACAAACGTGCTATCAGTAGTTGCTGCACTATTGAATAGAATTAGAAAGTTATTATTTGTGCTTTCAGAGTATAACTTTAAAATGTCATGCCACTATTTAAATGTCTGATCTCTTCAGAAACCTTCTCCAAACAAAACCTGAGAAAACCTCGTTGGTTTTTAAGTTGGTCAGAATTGCTCTTTCAGATTCACATCTGTACTTGGCACTTAAATTTTTTAGAAATTAAGCAAATCATAAAGTTGCGGTCTGCTCTCTATTGTGAAATGCTCAGATATTTGAGGTGTACATAGCTTTTAAACTGTTAAAATATTAAGTTTCATAAAGTTTCCTTATAAAGATATTTTAAAAGCTATCATGAAAAGAGACCAGGAGCAGAATTACATGCTGCTGCCTCAGTGGACTATAATTATTTAGTCAGAGATTTTGTGTCCAGAAGAAACCATTGTCATTTAGTGTGGACGGCAGAAGTGACAGTTGTTTTTGGTGGCCTTGCAGCTCTTACTTGACTGCCAGTTTGGAAGCAGCCACTGTGCCTTGAACAAGAGTGTTCAGGAGAGGGCAGGTCTTCTTTGGTATATGAATATCTGATGAAGAATAGGCAAGACCGGGTCTTGCTTTTTCTTACATAAGCCAGTCCCAAAAATCCTCTTCTTGAAAACAAAGAAAATATCTCTTTGAAACTTGTGACTTAAATCCTTCCCAGGGCTGGGCTAGGTGCCCAGCTCCTTCCATCTTACAAAAGGGATAAAGCCCCATGAATCCAGAGAGGGTTTTAAGATTATTTGACCAACAGTCACTCCTTATTCTCTACCTGATATTTTTAAAGCCTGTGATTGCTTTTCCCTATGCTCTAGTGTAAAGGTTAGAGGAAACTCCAACCTTGGACTGCTTTGTGTTGTAAATGAAATTCTAGAAGACAAAGCAACGCAACTGAAAAAGTTGTCAATGAATGTTTTAACTTGATTCATCCATCAGTCCCACAGCGAGCAAATCAAATCCTGCTGGTGCTTCGCATCAGTCATTTGCCTGTGACTTGTTGCATAGGTTTCTTTCTTTGGTTTACAAATCCATCTCATTTCCCTTGTTTCCGAGTTTTTATTTGTGAGGCTTACTACATGCTACAGAAACACTGAGAATTGTATTTGGACTTCAATGAATTTTTGTTTTCCATGTAGCTCCTTAAACCCGATATTTTGCAGACATCGTTATTAATATCTAGATTTATCTTTTAAATCCCAACAGTGAACAGCACTTATCTACAAAGGTGTTTTAAAATTAGATTGCTACATGTTAGCAGGCTGAGCTCAGAAATGGACATATTCCCTCAAAAACTGGGAGAGGTTATGCTAAAGATAACGGATCAGTGTAGGTTTCTTGCAAAGCAGGAACAGAGCTTGTTATGTCCATTAACTGTACTGACATTTCTACAACAAATGATTGCTTCTCCTAAAGTTCACCTTATGCTCTTCTGGTGGCAAATTCAGCTACATGCAGAATTACTTCCAGATGAGCTTTTTTATCAGAGAATTGATTGCGTGGGAAGTACACATGCCAAAGGCATTGAAGTAAGGCTTCCCTGCTTGTAATTTGTGTCATACAGATATGTGGAACAGCTGATAGCAGCCCAATTTAATCTTCCCAGGAATACACAGAGGTCTGGGGTCTTATGGAGTACATGGAAGAACAAAACTGCAAAACTTGAATGGGAAAGTGAGTGCTGATTCTTACTATAAATATTTTCTGCTTTGAATTCAAGGTAAATAAGGAGCAGTGGAGTACGAAAATTATGCTTTTCTAGACAGATTGCAAGCTTTTTAATAAATAAAGGCAGTCCTCTCATAAACAGTGAGCATCTGTTGGTTACAGAGCACTTGGTTAGGTTCTAACGCATGTTCTCTATTAATCTCCAGGCCTCCATCCCTGCTGAAGGCTGATCTTTCAGAACTGTATTTAAAATAGTCCTGAATTTACACTTAGAAAAGTCTTTTGAGAGTAGCAGAGCCTTTTGTAAGGAGAGAGAGATAATGAACTGCAATGTCTTAAAGGCCAGATTTTTAAAGGTATTTAAGTGCTTATAGCAATGGAAATTGAATAGCTAGATGCTTTTGGAAATCCCTCAAGATGCTTAGCTGTGTCTGTGGGATGCTTTAATAAATTTGTTCCGAGTGGTTTGCCTGAGGTGCAGTTAGTCCCTGCTAGAGAGCTGGAAGAGAAACCATTTCCCTTTCTGCTGTAACCATTAATCATTTTTGCCTTTTTTATAACAAAGTGATAGGAAAATGTAACTGTTTATATAATCGGGTGGAATAAAAAAGAAATAACAATGAATTATGAAACAAAACCAAACTTCAGCTTTTTCTGAGTTGTAGACATTTCCTGTAAGCTCATGCTTGCAATCATAGCCTTCCTCTGCTTGTGAAGTCTCAATAATCAGCATGTGGTTAAACAAAATTATTTGCTGAATACCTTCTACAGTGTGGTTAAGAGTCTGTGAAGTATTAGGTATTGGGTTTTTGAGAGAAATTGATCTTCTCAATGTGTTTTGTAGAAAAAGTCACATGCCACTGGTTCTGTTTCCTGAGTGATCGTAGCTCTTGTTGTAAACCTGGTGTCTGGTTTGAGTATTTGATGTTTCCATGTCTGCATTCACTTCCCTTTGCATCTTCTCCTTTGCTTACAAACACTGGCTAAATATGAACATAAAATAAAATTAATTTTTTGTATTCTTCCAGAAAAAAAGTGATCAAATTCTCCAAATTTGCTTTTGTCAGTGTGTGTTTTTGTTGTTTTTTTTTTTTTTAGATTACTTTTCATCATTATTGTATCCTTTCATTTACTGCTTTTCTAATCAAATGCTTACTTTTCTTTAACCAGGATGCCAAGAAATTGGCAGGTGAAGAGCCTGCCTGGAAGGAAGTCAAAGATGCTGTAAATGAGGTGAAATATCCAAAATCAAAAGAAGGTATCCTTTCAGTGATGTGCGACAGTCTGTCATTCTGTTGTGAACACAATCATGAAGTAAAGCAGTTAATCTTTTGAGATTTCTCCCCTACATTTTTTTTCTTTTACGTTGTTTTAAAAAGAATTTTAATTTGCTTGATGTGAGTACACACAAACCATGTAATATTCCCAGTTGTGCAAGTGATAATAGTCTCTGATTTCTTGGAATGGAACTGCTTCATGGCAGGAGTAGCAGGTATGTAGGGTGGAGAAGGTATAATTTGGCTCAAACTTAGACATCTGCCTTCACAGTGTTCATATAAATCCATTTCTAAATGGAATAAAACTCAAACTGAAATGTTGTTTGTCCCATTATGCCTATGGTGAACAATTCAGGTTCTCATTCCTTGCATAGCAATGAACAAAGGCATAATCATAGTCAAGGTAACTGCAAAAAATTATTGAATCATTGTAATAACTTACATAACAGTAAGTGATAATTAAGCAAATTAAATGTAATAACAGGATTGGAGCCTAATGGCCATCACGTATACATTCATTTCAATTAAAACTCCAGTGAATAGTAAAGACCAAAAAAGATAAGTAAAAGAGAAGTTGAGATTTTTTTCTGGAAGAATTTGTCCATATTGATCCATTTCTCATCTTCATCTATTCAATGGAATTTTGCTGACCGTGAATTTCTCTATGTTGTAGTAAGGTGTCTTGCTGTTTTCTGAAACCTGGGCTATCTCTGGAGCCAGAAAGAATGACATCTTTGAGTACTCTGTTTCATCAGCTTAGAGAGCAATTTTGTGCAGTGGTACTCCAAACTGGAAACGAAATTTCTTTTCTCTAACCGTAAATAAATAAATAGATTTTCTCTCTATTCCAAACATACTCAGTCTTCTAGCAAATGGACTGTTGCTAAGGGAAATGATCATCTAAGCTACACTCATACAGTCTGTAAACCGGTTTGAGTTTCTCTGTAGTCACTGACTTGAGATGGGCAATAGTGAACAAGATCTTCAACTGTAATTTAGGGCCCGTGTTTTAACCTGGACTTCAAATAATAAATATACAACGTGAGACTGAAATAATTTTGGTACCAACTGATAAGGAGCCAAAATACCTTAGAATTTAATGCCCTTATATTTAGTTGCTGCAGAAATTGCACCTAATGAATTTTGTTAGGATCTTTAATATTGCTCATTTTGCTAATATTTACAAATTAAACACACCATAGTAAAAGCTATCAGGTCTGGTTGAAAAATTATGCCACTGTTGTCAGTTCAGTTTCTGTTCTCAGATAATGGGAACTATTCCACTGCAGCACAGCGCTGTTCCACTGCTGATTGTCATGAATTAGTGAGCACAGTGCATGAGGAAGGGGCTTGACATCGGTTCAGTTGCCAAGCATGGACAGAATCCTTCTTTGCTGATTGAGCCACATTGTGATTCCTTTCTGCAAATGTATTTTTTTTTTTAAGCAAATTAAATGAATAGTTTGTACAGTTTAGAAAGGCAGTCATTTCCAAAACCAGAGCTACTGATGGAGTGTTGCAATGCTTAATCTGCAGTTAAGAGAACAGGAAACAACCTGCGTGTTTAAAATTGTCTCAAAAAATCCAGTTTAAGCACAAAAATTGGGATATTAAAGCCAAGTACAGGGGGATTATTGTGTGCTGCTCAACAGCAGCAGAGTTGCTTGAAAGCTGCTTCTCCAGTCTTGGACTAGATCTAAGATAGCCAGCTTCCCCTTTTGTCCCAGGGCAGTTGATAGTGAATTTTCTAGTTTGCAATTTATGTACCTGAAAATTTGTTCTCTACAGGTTTTGTGGTATAACGCTTCTGCTATTAGATGCAAGTGAATGAGCGAAGCAACGTAATGAGAAATAAAAGCAGAGCAATACTACATATCAGCTAAAATGGTAATCTTTCAGGAATGTTAGAGCTTCCCACCTTTTTAAAAAAATTGTATCAAGTAGAAATAATATCCCTCAATTCTTCTGATTGTCTGTCCCTAATCAGTTGTGGAGAATACATTAATGTTGTTCAGAGATATAAAGGTTGACATGGAATTTTATAATAATACATTCCTTCCCCTTTAGTTCCTTCAATCCAAGGACATGAGAGCAATTCACAAATAATTAGTTTAGCCTTGTAACAACCATGCTATAAATCTGGCCCAGACACATACTGGTCACATTCTTAAATTTAAGTATGTAAATATTCCCATGTTCAGGAAGGACTAATTACTTTGTCATAGGGTTATCATTGTGCACTTACATCCATTGCTGGATTGGCACGAATAACATTTGCAGTAATGTCATGAAGATAATTGCTGAACGTCCTTGAGTTGATTGTGTAGAAAGGACTCTGATGCAAGCAGTGCTGTTACTTCTCTTACTGTAACTCTTGCTTGTTTGTTTAATTTGTTGCACTTATTACGGTAACAGTTTTTAGTGTTCAGACTGCTTGCATTCTGGGACTCCCATAAGGTCCCAGATGATAGTACTCATTTAAAATCTTGGAAGATCAGTGTTCAATTTAGCTGTGGTCAAAGAGTGAAGAAGCTGGTCAACTGAGAGGCTAAACCACTTTAGAGTATAATAAAAATAAGTGATTTCTGATAAGGCACATCCAACGGATGTGAATGCAGTTCCCAGCTTACTTTTCCTCTCTGCCAAACACAAAAATCTTCTTGTAGCATTGGAGGTAAAAATCGTCTTCTCTGCCAAGATCCCTAAACACGACCCATGCTCAGACATCAGAACTGTGATGCTTCTTTTTCCACTGCAGGAAGCATGCAGCAATACATGGAAAAAAAACAGTGCTTCTTGCAACTATTTCAAGAAAGAAAAAAGATTAATTGCAAAAAAGGTTCTAATTTATGAGAATTTGAAAAAAACCCTGTGCAGCTTGAAAGTGTGTGTCATTATTTTAGTACATATAAAATTAATTTTCTTTTTTTAGTTGCTGAACCGTTTTTTGAAGGCATATTTCCAAGGATTCCTGCTGTTGAGTGTAAGATTTAAAGGATTCACTTCAGTAAATAATGATTCTTCAACAGCTAAAACAAAAGTAACAGAATTTTAGTTTGTTATCTATTAAAGTATCTTGTAATTTTGTTGGTTTTTTTTTTTTTTTTTCATTTACCTCTTATTGCTGAAATTCTGCCCTCCTTATGAATTGTTTTGCTAAGTGTACACAAAGCACAGTTACCTAAGCTGCTACTCACAAGTATGTTTTCAGAAATGGAAGCAGTCTGAAATGATGGCAGCTTTTTTATCTCAATATCCTGTAGCTTCCACTCCTTTTTAACAACATTTAGGACCTGAGTTTTTGCTTTAAGGATATTTCCTTGACTATGGCCAATAATAGAGTGGGAGAAGGTACTCGCAAAATGCCAACATCTCCTGAGCAGCCATACCAGTCGTCTTCCAGATACAAACATCTATCAGCTGAAACTGCTGGACTGTGCCATGGATGCCTGTATTAACCTTGAAGCCTGGGAACAAGCTTTGTCTTATGGCAGCAGGACACTTGGACCATACAGGTAAGAGCTGCAGCAGGTTCGGCTATTTCTGGCTATGAGTGTGCACTGGGGAGTCTCATTGCAGGGTAAGGTTGCTGACTAGATGCTGTTTAGTGGTTTTTACTTCTTGCTGTAAATCTTGCTTCGCTTTCCAGATAAATGGATGAGGCAGAACTTCCATTCTGCTTGCGTAGTCAGGCTAAGAGTAAATAAAATGATAATGGAAAGTATGATAACTGATTATCAAATCCTTGAGATGTTACCCCACCACTCTGATCAGAATCTGGCTTTGTGGTTCAGACCATGTTTTGTGAGGCTATCAGTATTTTATACTGAGCTGTGTTAAGGCTGGGCGGGTAGTGCTGGCTGAAATGTATATTCTCACCGTGCTCTGTACAGAGAGTTTGCAGAAAAAAAAAAGTTCAATCTTGTAAACTGAAATTTCAGCTCAAAGTGAAAAAGACACTGTTATTTTGATAACTTGTCAGTACTTGATCCTATACTGTGTGCTGGCAGAGTTTCTGAGTCCAATGGCCTTTCTTTGGAATTCAGGGATGCTGTAGAAGATTCTACTTCATGCAATAGATCTTGAAATTGATTGGAGCCTGGAGCTGTAATGCAGCTTTGGTCTTCTAGTGGAGATGAGCAGGTATTGCCTTCTCTAGTCTGTGTTTGCCCTGTTTTAAAAGGTCTGTTTTGAAAGTCTTTGGTTCTGAATATCTGGGTTGTTTATAACCTTGAGCTGGGTGTCTGGATATAGTGTCGTTCATACATGAATGTTCCTTTTGGGGAAGGTATTTGTTAGAGCATCCCTTTCTTCACTTAGGTTCTACTGCTCCATGTACATCAATATATGCTGCTGTGAATATCAGCATTTCAGATTTTACAGATTCTGTAATCAAACCAGGCTGCCATCAGCACGCAGTATTTGCCTGAGGCAATTTCATCTGGAAACCTGTTTCTGCATAAAATTCTGGGCAGCAGCTGAGAAACAATGCAGCATTTCAGAGCTTTCGCCGTAATGTAGTTAGTGAGAAATCTGTGTGGTCTGTGCTAAACCAGTACTGCAGAGAAGTGATGTGTTTGTAGTCACTGTTACCTCTCATACAGGTGAGCAGGAGTGCCAACAAGTTCTCGTGTTTCTTTGGGGTGAAGTTCACGTCACACATGCCCCTTTTAGCCTTCTGAACAGGTGCATTACTGCAGCAGGACACATTTCCTGCTGGTCTTCTCCCTGTGCCAGCTCTGGCTGAGCAGAGCAGCCTCCCGTTTTCAGTGCTCTCTCTTGGGTTTTGTTTTATAACTTGTTAACTCGGTTCTTCACAACTGAACATTGAGGATTTTTTTACAGTGAGCAAAGATTACAGGGAGACCAAGAGCGATTGTACCAGATCATGTAACAAAGCTTTCTGTGTTTTGCTTACTGAATCATACTGCAGTTTTCATGCGGTTTAATGCAGGAGATTGGATATGAAGGAAAGGGTTTGACTTTGTTCAATTAGTATCTCCTAGGACATGCCGTTTGCACAAGGTACTTGACCTTTTTATGTAACTTAAAGAACTCATCCTTATTCTTCCTTCATCCAGAAGCTTATTTAAGAGTGATTTTCACTTGTATTTTTTATATATATATACCTTAAAGTCATCACGATAAGCTCTGACACACCTGAAACAAAATCCTCAGTTTCTCATTACAACAAATTGCACCCTAAGCAGCAGGAGAGCAAATCCTAGGAAATCTTTTGGGATGCATTGAATTTTTCCTGTTGAATCAATCTACTGCTTGGCTGCTCCTGCACTTCCATTATAGCTATCTATTTTCCTTTCCTCAGCTCTGGAAAACATATTCATGGTTCTCTCCACAGGGAATCACCTGAGATTTCTAGCAGTCCATATAAATAGGAAATCATTGTTACAACCTTAAAGGCTCAGGAGAATTGGTCTAAAACAATTTTAATTTCTGGTAATCTGTTTATTGTGCATTTTCCATTTCTTTAGCAGCAGGATTAATTTTCAGTGCTGTGTGATGCACTGAATTGCAATGCATGTTTTTATTTTGCTAGTCTCTGACCTTTTATGAATCATCACTTCATGCAACTGGTGGCTAAATGGATGGCTGAACTGCATAAAACTGATTTGTCACAGTGTATACCAACACCTGAGTTTTAGGTAGCGTCAATGACATTTGCCAAGGAACATTGTTCAAGACTTCTCAAATATTTTTAGAACTTCCAAAGGAAGGGAGAATGGTTGCTCTCAAAATGAAAAGATGCCTCCTCTTCTTGTGCTGAACCGTAACTGTCCATTGTTTGTTACAAGATGTACTTTCACTGAATAGCCTAAGCCAAGTGTATCTACACCGCTTTTCTTGTAAATGTCACAGTAATTGCTGTCTGTCTAAGAGCCTTAACAAAAACTGAGGCATTTGTGTAAGTAAAAGCTGTCCCACATCAGAGTCAGCACTCAGCAGCTTGTAAAAATAAACTTCCTTTCAAAAATCCTCTGAACACAGAATAACAAGAGTATCAGCAAGAGGTGTTGCATGGGTTTGTCGTGTCTCAGCACATTTGCACTCTGGGCTGACTGCTGCTTATGAAGGGCCTGCTTCAGAGATACTGCCCTCATCACACTTTTCTTACCTCTGGGGAAGGAGCCTCGTGTTTGATCCTCTGATTGCAGAGAAGGCACATGTGTTCTGGGCATTTGGCTTGGGGTTTTTATTGCTTTTCTCTTCCCTTTGCATCAAGTACTCAGTGTTTGCACTGGAAACAGTGGCAGTATGCATCTGTTATAAAACTCTGCTAGATGTCCTCAGCTGTTGTAGTATGTGAACCAGAGACAGAAGAAATGTCTAGGTGACACTGTGGGGCTTTTTTGTTTAGAAAACAGAACAGATGAGATGAAGCTCTGCTGCTTCTCTGGGCACTTGTGGCATCAGGTCTGGTGAGATTCTGATGCACCTCTGTTTCCCTTCATGCTTCCGCCTCTCCATTCTCCCTCTGCTGAATCAGCAGCAATGCAGGGCTTGTGCTGATGTGGCTGTTTTGATTCATGGCAGGAGGAAGTTGGGGAGATGCGAGCATCGTAGTAGGTGTGCATCATCCCTTCCAGCATCATTCTACAGTATTCTCTTAGCTGACCTTTTTTCAGTGATTGACGTGTTTCAGGAAACAGGGAAAGCAGTCCCAATCAGCAGAAATTCAGATTATTTTGCAAAGGGCTGTGACCAGGATATGCTTACTGCAGACTATTTTGTACTTCCCAGAACGACTACTGTAAATATGGCAGGTCACAACAGGGTTCAGGATATATTTAAGAACATAGTTGATTTCTCATTGTGTGAATGAAGTGTCAGTCAGGAATTTTTGATTTAGAATTTTATTTCAGTAGATATGATGGACAATAGTTTCTAAATCTATGAACTTCTACCAGAAGGCAGATTAAAAATTAATGGTTGCTATAGTAACTTTTCCATGAGTCATGATTTTGTAATAAAAAAAAAAGCCAAAAGTAGGTATAGAACCTAATATTCTGCAAAGAGGCTCTCAACCTCTTTTTAATTCTTCAAATGCAGTGCAATAATGAACCTGATTTTTGTTGTCTAAATTCCCCCCTTTTAAAAATCTCTGATCTTACAGGTCTGTTTTCTAATAGACACCTCCAAGTTTATCTGTGGTATGTAATTCATTTACTGAGTTGAGAGGACTCTTAAGTACTGGTTAATCTGAGGCACTTTTCTTGAATTTACATGTATGTTGAATGTTGGGGTACCTAGAAAAAAAAAAACATACAGACACACATACTCAAATGAGCTGCAGTGATACATGGAACCACTGGGGGATGCTGATGCTTAAGGGTTAAGGTCTAGACTCAGCACCAATTGGCACCTTAGTTATGGGAGATCCCCTAGGGACTAGTGTATGGCTGGCAGATATCTGAACCTATAGATAGGAGTCATTCAGTGACCAAAGTTCAGTGTCTTAATCATAAAAGATCAGTAGTAAACATACCTCTTACCTGTGGGATTACCTGAGAGGGAGACGAAAATGTGAAGGTGGAGAAACGATTTAGAGAAAAAATGGAACAAAGAACAGAAAGAACAACAGCTAGTCCTGCTTTCTTTTGAACAGTTTTAGAAAGTGGCGTTTGTCTCTGAAAATCAGAGAAGTATGTGTGGGAAGAAAAGACAACTGCAAGACATGAAAAACTACAGCTTATGGAATCGTCAGAATAGATGAGGTGGCCTTACTTTGTGATGTCTAAAAACAACCATGAATTGATTTGTGGTTCATCAGTGGTTCCATTGTTTTGTCATCTAGAGATACTAAAAGGCCAAGTAATCGTAAAGAATTTGAGTAAGAAGGAATGAAGTACATTTACAAAATATTTGTGCAAAGGTGTAAAGCTGGGGGCACCACAGCCCCATAAGGAGCTATTGCAAGAAACCAAGTGATGAGCACCATGCATTTCCCTTCAAGGTAGGGAAATGAACAGAGGGAAGAGAGAGCTTGGTAGTGACAAATTGCTAAAGCTGGAGAGATGGTGGGCAGCACTGGGAGTACTTCTCCACTTTCCTTTCCTTCCAGGTTATTGATAGCAGACCACGGATTATGGAGATAGTGTTTGGTGGGTTATACAACGTTAGTTGGCAGTATTAGCATAAATCAGTGGAAGCCAAACTATGTTTAAAAGCTTAAGAAGCAATTAGGTATCCTCAGGAGAGACCATTGTGAGTTACCTTCGTAGTCTAAAAAACATTCTTCACCTTAGTGACCGTTTCTTTATACTTTCTTATACATCTTCATTGAATCATGTCAGAATCATTAAGGTTGGAAAAGGCTTCTAAGATCATCTAGTCCAATTATCACTGCTGCAAAGTTTTCCAACTGATGGCCAGCTAGTAGTTCTATATATGCATACTGATCATCTTCAGCTTCTAGATTCACTTTTAGTTGCTAGTTTCACCTTTCACTTACACAAATATGAAGTGTCTCCTCGTGTAACTTAAGCCTCCCAAATGC